CTTGGAGGCCAGAGCCTGGATTGATTTTGGGAGGTCCCTGGCTCCAGCACAGGACTGGCCTCAAGGGAGACAAGGGCACCCCCTGGCTAACCCAAGGCCCGGCCCCATCCCACTCCCACCTTTTACCAGGCTTCCCCTCACCCTGCCAGCAGCACATTAGGGTCCAGTTCCTATCAGCTAAACTCAGGGGGAACTGTGGGGCCTTAGCCCACGTTCTGGCCCAGCCTGTGTGTCTAGTGACTCTCCTCCCCTCCCTGTACCTGTGGGATGGAGGGGAAAGCTCACAGGGGACAGAGCCACAATGCTAAGAAGCATCTCTTCAAGCACCTGCTGCCTTCAGCTACTCCCAACGCCCCCTCTTTCCCCCTGCACCCATTTCCAGCAGCTCCCCGCTCCATCCCCCCCACCCCGAGGCAGGACAAGGGGCTGGCTCTGGTGCCCTGCCTGCTGCCAGCTGCTTGTATTCACAGGGCAGGGATGGCTCTTTGCAGGAGGGCACCTGGAAAGCATCAAGCTGGTGCCGCACCCCATGAGGGGGCAGCTGGGCTGGGGGATTGCAGTACATGTGGCAAGAGCTGCATGAACCTCCCACATGGAGGAGGCTGGACCCCACCGAGGCAGGCAGGGGCAATAGAACAGAAATGATTCCACGAGCTTCACGACATGAGCCCTCGGCCACCCGCAGAAGGGAAGCATTCTCCTTAGGATGGGGAAACTGAGGCACAGGCCTGAAGTGACTCAGGATAATAAATTGGGGTGGGGAGGGGTCCTCCTGTGCTCAGAGGACAGGGGGTTTGGTTCCTGAGGAGGGAGGGTCACCCACAGGATTGGTGCTTTCCATGTCTCCTACATGCAGTGCTCCACATGCAATGGGGGTGGATGGGGACTGCCAAGCTTCCTGCCAGGATCTGGAGGGTGGGAGACTGAGCTGCTCCTTGACCAGGCCCAGGAAAGCCCCTGCCTTGCTCCTCCCCAGCGCTGGCTGAGCAGGGGTGGGAACCTAGGGAACCTTAAGCTGCTTGACTGGCATCTTGATTGAATATTTTCAACTCACCCCATGTGGCCAAAGATGCTCCACACTAGGTCACAAGTCACTTGACCCAAGACCGGTGTTCATGGCTTGGCTGGGATGTTGCGTGTTGGGTTGGGGAGGCAGCCAACTACCGCGCCTGATCTCTCAGCCATGACAGAGCATGGCACCCTCCAGCCCAGGGGTTTGGCTGGCCAGAGGTCGCTGCAGGATCAGGGCTGCCCAGTTCCAAAGAGCGATGCTGCCATAGAGAAAAAACCACACTTCACCAGGCTCGGGGAGAAGAGCCCTGCCAGGCATTTCTGCCTCCTCTGGCTTCCCCTTTGATTCAAGCTCCTGGAGCAGAACGGAGAGCTCCATGCCTGTCCCCTGCTATGGCACTGGAGGGCAGCTGGGCTTGTACCCTCCTTCCCCACCCTGAGTGCATGATGAATCTCTGCCCCCATTGAACAAATGGGACTCAGGGCCTCTGCAGCCCCCCCAGTCCCATGACACTGGAGCGGCATCACATGCAGTGCCCCTTGCACTGTGCTCCTCTGTGCAGCATTTATTCTGCAGGGTCACAAGACCATGCGAGTGGGTGGCCTTGTGACCCACAACGTGCAGCTGGCCGGGCAGCATGGGGGCTCAGACTGGCATTGCCTTCCTGACCCAGAGCCCAGGGGTTCCTGCTGCCACACCTGCCGCAGGATTCAGCTTGTCTTTCCCTCCGTTGCCAGCTGGCTCCCACAGTGGGAAGGGGGCAAAGCTGTTACGCCAGTTCACTGAAGATGCCCTGTGGTGGAAGGGAGTCGGGTTGGATCAGAGGCCTATCCAGTGTGTCCTGCACTATTTGCCCTATTTCCAAGCCTCAGAGAAAGCAGAGCTCATGTCAGAGCAGCTTCAGGGTATAGGGCACCAAAGGAAGGCAAGGGACTATATGGTATCTTTTTCCCTGCTTTGCCTTTGTCCCGGGTGTCACAGTGGAGGAGTTTATAATCAGGCCCCATGCTACTGCTGTCTGGTCTATTTAACTCTAGAAGGACTCAACAGCAAGGAGCATCCTACTCCGAGGGTACACATGTACTGCTCATTCTTGTGCTAGGGGAGATTCTGGGTCTTCCCAGGCCCTGTTCTTTTGCCCTGAGAAACAGAGGCAGCTTCTCAATGTTGATGGTGTGTCCTGGTGCAATGGAAACCCAACTGCCAGGAGGTACCTGGTCAGCTGGGATGAGAGGTGCATTTCTAAGCAGATTTGGATTCCTTCAGACTGATCTGGCTTTTCCCAATGACAGCTCATGGCAAAAGGGGCTACAGCTGCTCAGCACGTCTGAAAACCTCTGGATTCACTTTAGCTCCACTATAGGCCCAGAGGGTGAGACTCTCCAAATTCAGAAAATCTTTCTAGAAAAGCTGCTGCATTTGGGCAGTGCCCAACATCCCAAACAATCCCGATTACAAATATCTTCTGCCTCCCAGGCCACCACGTGTGGGTTTTGGGGTTTTTTTGTTTGTTTTTTTGAAGTCACAGCTCAACCACCCAGGAAATTGCTGAAAAAGTCACTGTTTTTCCTGTGGGACCTCTGGGTGGGTGAGACTAGATTCTGTTCCCGGAGGCCTCACAAGGAAGATCCAATCCTGAGGTAAGATCTCTGGGGCTTGTCTGTACCACATCCCTATGGTGCCTAGGGAAGTGTGATCCACAGCAGGCTCTGTGAGCACCTTTACTATTCTGGGTCTGGGGTGTGCCAGCAGGGGTAGGATGGCAGGCTGTTCCCGGGAGCATCCTCTGCCATGCTGGGGTGGAGGTATAGATGCATCCTCAAGCTCAGTGTGCTTCAGTCAATAATAGCATTTCCCTATGGCGCGGAGATGCTGTGAAGATAAATATGCTGAAGACTGAGAGTGCTGAGACACTATATGGTAATAAAAAAAAATAGAGAGGGAGAGTGCCAGTGGCAGCTTTGACTGGGAAGTCACTGTCTGTTCAGAGCTAGGAAACAAGTAGCTCCTGATTTGGCACTTGACTTGGAGGTAATCCATCCTGAGAGAATCAGCAGGGAGGAGGGACTTTGCCCCTGAAAAAGGAGATCCACCTTTCAAAATACTCAGTTCAAGAATGAAAACAATGCACCTTTAAACCAGAGGTGCCAGGGGCATGGGGAGAATTTCCCTTGTTAAAGAAACCGCAACCGGGTGGATTGAAACCGTCATATTAAGACTTTGACTTTGTAAAGGGCTTGTGCTTAGGAACAACCTTATTTGTACACTGTAATAACAACTCCTTGCAACTTTTGGGGTGTGTAAATTTGCTGGTGGAGAAGTGTTCACAGGATCCAGCCTTGGGTTTTGAAAAACAAATGCTACCCAAACGAGTTGGGGCTTGTCTACACACAGTTTAAATCAGAAATTGCTGAACCCAACAGCAACCAGGTTGGTGGCAGAGAGGGCGGGGGGGTGTGAGCACTGGAAGGCATTACCTAGAGAAGCTGTTGTGGGATCTCTGTCGCTGGAAGCATTTAAGAGCAGGTTTGACAAACATTTGTGTGGGGGGTGTAGAGACGGCTGATCCCGTCTGGAGCAAGGGTCAGACTCGACTACAGGTGACTTCCTGAAAGCCCTTCCAGCCCCGTGTCTGTATGAGCCTGTACAACTTGCACCAGTGTAACTGAACGGATGTGTTCCCCCCACCTCCCTTTAGTTATCTCCATGCAACATGTTGTATAGATCCAGGCCTAAGCTTGATAGAAACGTTTCCTTGATCGCTTGTTTGTTTGTTTGTTAGGAAGCAGGCCCTCCCCCCCACCCTTTTTTTTTTTCAGTTGCCTTTCTGGGTTTCTTCATGCAAGTAGCTGCTGGCGGTGCAAACTTTCCAAGGCTGGCAGCTTTTCTCAACCCACAGGTTGCGACCCAAAAGTGGGTCACAAGAATATATGAAAGGGTCACAAACTTTTAAAATGGATTCTCCTTTAAATGAGAAAAATGTGGGAAACTGGGTTTTCGCAAGGCACAGTTCCAGCCTACAAGAGGCTGCTTGCAGCCCCCCTTGCCCCACACACTGGGGGGCTGAGGGTTGGGGCCAGGGGTGGGAAGCAGCAGATTGGGAGTGAGGGGCACCGGCAGGGTTAGGGAACTGTTTTCTACTTAAACTATGTACTGGGTCAGGACTGACCATCAGTGTTTACAAATGGGTCCTGGTGCAAAAAAGGTTGAGGACCACTGCTGTAGGGCATCCTCAAAGGAAACCAAGGTGAAGCAGGTCAGCCTCCTATCAGTTGCCTGTGCAAAACAATGGGAAAACGTGCCCTTTCAATGCCCTGTGCCCTCACAAGGGCTCCTAAACCCCACAAGGGCCCCACCACCACAGCAGGACAGGGGTTCAAACCCTTCCGTGTCTTCTCCCTTGAATCAAACAGGCCCTGCTCTGCAGGTCCATGGGGAGCTGCTGGGAAAAGCAGGTTTGCACAAGGAGATTGCAAACCCTGGGCAGGAAATGCTGGGGTGGGTTTCTGCCTCAACCTCTCTCTTGAAACACCATTCTCAGATACAGGGGTGTAGGTTGTGGCCGCCTTGATCTAAGGACACAGGCAAAGACAAGGTTGTGTGGGTAAATCGGGTCTCTTACTGGAGATCAGACTGACTTTTTACTCGACCGACTGGGGGGGAAAAAAAAGAGATCAGGTTTACCCGAAGAACCTTGTCTGCCTTCTCTGACACTGGTTTCTTTCCTGCTTGGGTTTGCAAAGGCAGGCATGGAGCAGAAAGCAAGCGGCAGGGGGGATACTGCTGTCTCCCCCTCTCTCCTCTCCCCCCCCCGGGCCTCTGCCCCCGGAAGTGCCGGGGAGCTCCCACTCTCCTGCGGCAGAGGCAGCGCGGGCACTTCTGCCTTCCCTTTCTCCCCCTTAAATGCAGCCGCAGCAACAGGGCGAGCACGAATCCACCTTAAGAGAGCGCCTCCTCCTCCTCCTCCTCCCCGGGATGGGGTGAGCCCCGGCCCCCTGCGGCCGCGCCCGGCGGGGGACAGGGCGACGACCCGGGGCGGCTCCGCAGCCTCCTGCCCCTGCGCGCCCGGGACCAGCCGGGTCTTGCGCCCTCCTCCCGGCCGCGGCCATGCGGGGCGGGCCGGGCTGCGGGCGGCCGGGCAGGACCAGCTGCAGCCCATGAATTAAGTGCGGAAGCGGCTCCGCCTCTCGGCGCCCCGAGGAAGCCGGCAGCCCAGGACGTGAGTTTTTCTCTGCTGCCCCCTCCTCTGCCCGGGAGCTCCCGTCAGCCTGACCGGGGCTTCGCGATCGCTTCCCCGGCTATAGTTAGCAGCTGCCGCCGGCTCGGCGCTTGGGACCTGCAGAAACTTCGGAGCGGGGTTTCCCTGGGCTTTGCGGGGGCGTGAGTGCCCCAGCCCCAGCCCCTCCAGCCAAGGGAAACTTTGCCTTCGCTCCCTGCAGCACAGAGGTGGGGGCTTCTCCTTCCCCTTCTTCTCCTTCCCCTCCTTGCCCTTCTTCTTCCTCTCCTTGCTTCCCAGGCTGGGGCCATGGTGGGATCTTCCCCTCCCCAATAACCCCCAGGAACCAGAGCAGCCTGCCTAGGGGTTGTCGGGGTGCTGGGGCTGCGCGGCTGCTAAAACAGGGACCTGGTTATGTCGTGGTGGGTGCACAAAGCCGGCTCTGTGTCCCCACCGCTGCCCACCAGCCTGGCTTCCTTTTGGGGGGTGGGATTTTGCTGCCCCAGCAGGGTCTGAGCAGTGCCGGTGTATGAGGAGGGCTTGGCCGTCTGTGGGTGGGGGCAGGAGGCCTGGCAGGGATGCGGGCGTGTGTGCAGGCTGCTCAAGGGGGCTCTGACTGCAGGGAGAGGGTGGGAGCGTGGTGGAAGGCTGGCACTGGGCGCGGGATCTGTTGCGGCTGCAGCAGGTGGGTGGGACGGGCAGCAGGCTGCTGGAGCGGGCTCAGCCGGAGGGGGAGGCAGGCTGGCAGCTTCAGCTCCCCCTCCCTGCTGTGCTGTGGCTGGGGTAGGGTGCAGGGGCAGAGATGAGGGGCCAGAGTCAGATGCCCTGCAATAGCTGGGATGCAGTTTGTGGCTCTGGGATGAGGCCCTGAAGAGGGGTTTGGGGGGCAGGAGGGGTTGCAGGCTCTGCTGTCAGCATAGCCAGCTTGTTCTGGCTGGGGCCCGAGATGCACCTGGATGTGAGGAGGCGGGGGTGTCTGTCCGCTGCACTGGATGGAGAGGATCCCATCTCTGCAGCTGACTCCGGGCCTCTTGCTGCAGCAGGTGGGTGACCCACCCCCTGCAGCAAGGAGCGCTCCTATCTGCTTCCCCCCCAGCCGCCTGCCAGGTGGGCAGGAAGAAAAGCTCCAGCCTGGGAGAGTCCCATCTGTTGCGCTGAGTCTCCTTGGGAGAGCTGCATCCACACGCACGCATCTCCCTGCCCTGGCTATGACTTGGTCAGCTTGCCCTTGGAGGGGCAGGGAGTTTTCCCTGCTGGCTCCAGCCTCCCTTGTGCCCTGGCTGGCTTGCTCAAAGGCCACAAGGGGTTATCCACAAGTCGCATCTCCTGTTCTGCGTTGTGGTGCGGTGGACCGCTAGGATAAGGCCCCATGGTGGGAGCTGGAACTGTGCCGGTCTCAGCCCAGGCTGCCATCAGCCCATGCTGCACAGCAGCACCATTCAGCATCCGCTCTCTTGCCACCCCCTGCCTGGGAAGGGTTGGAACAGCAGCAGGGTGCGGGCTGCAGGTCGGGATTCGGATGCCGTGTCTGAGCTCTGTGTGGGAGCCCCAGGCGGGAAGGGCCGGGCGTGGCGTTGGGTCTGGCGCGAGGTACATTTGCCTTTCCAGGGCTGGTGGCCGGAGCAGCAGGTGGGCTGCAGGTGGCAAGCGGGGAGAGGCATCAGCAGGGCATGCTGGGGAGCAGGGGCTACTGCAGGCAGAAATGTGTGTGTGTGTGGCCAGCGTTGGGCTAGTGGGGCATGCGTCGGGGTGGGATTGCAGTGTGCTGGCAGTGCCGGCCGGGCCACGCCTGGTGCTGGCTGTCCCTCCCTCCTGCCTGCACCGCTCCAGCCCATCCAATCAGGGTTTAAAAGAAACAAGCCAGGCAGAAGGAAGGGGCGGTGGTGGTGGGGGACCCAATCTAGCTCCAGACAAACGCCCTGGCTCTTCTGACTCCTGCCTGCCCGCTGAGCCCCCTCCCAGGTCCCAAATGCTCTGGAGGCCGGGAGCTTCCCTCCCTCTTGCTGCGCATCTGGTTTGAATCTTGGAGCTCTGTGGGAAGGTGGTTCCTGTTATGCAGCCTGGAGTCAGGCTCCCTGTGTCCAGCCTGGACCCTATCCCCTGCCCTCGGCTTTTCCTTCCTGGGAGGAGATTGCGTAGGCTTGAGGCAGCTCGTAAGGGCTCCGTGCTGGACCCTGCACGCAGGCCAAGCTCTCTGTACAGCCAAGGCCCGTGCAGAACAGAGGAAAGGAGTGGGAGGTGGTACAATGGGTTATTGTCCTCGTACCTCCGGATCCAGGCTCTGCTCGTAAACAGCATCCGTGATCCGCGTGAGCTGCCTGTCTGCAGTGCAGCCCCCCCTGAATGGGTCAGCATGATGGCCAGGCTGCAGGGCTGGGGGGCGGGGGCAGCCTGGCTGGAATAGACATGTCCGCAGAGCTCCTGACTGGAAGGACTGGTGCAGCACAGAGGGGCATGGGTGGGAGGGTGCGGAGCACAGCGTGGGGGCGAGACGCATCTGTGCAGCTCTCCTGGATGGAGCCTGGTCCCAGTAGATAAGTGGGGCTGTAGGTCTGGCCTGAGGGTGGGAATGGTGCAGGTGCGTTGAGCCGGGGCAACGTGCCACAGGGGTTTGTGCAAGTGGCCTCAGCTCTGCGTGGCTCCTGATGCTGCCCTCAATCTTTCACTTCTCTGAGCACTGAGATTCCCCTAAATATTTAATTACAAGCGAGAGAGAGAGAAGCAAGCCCCTCAAGCCCAGCTGCCTGCAGCAGCACGACAGGCCCTTCTGGAGCTCAAGGCTGTCGTGAATGTGGATCCTGCCAGGCGGCTGTCTCATTCTTGGAAGCTTCTGGGGAAAGGCCTGATGCTGGGGATGGGACAGAAACTGCTCAGGCCAGGTCAGGCTGGTATTTGGCTCAGCTGATAGGTAGGGAATTCTCCATGCTCCAGCATAATGTAGAAGAGAGTTGGATGGTCCCTAGACAAGCCCCAAATACACCTGGCAAGCAGTGTGTTGTGATGCCCGCTGGTCCCCTTTCATATGTTCTTGTGACCCACTTTTGGGTTGCAACCCATGGGTTGAGAAAAGCTGCCAGCCTATGAAAGGGTCACAAACAAACTTTTAAAATGGATTCTCCTTTAAATGAGAAAAATGTGGGAAACTGGGTTTTCGCTTGCAGGCTGGCACAGTTCCAGCCTACAAGGGGCTGCTTGGGTCCTCCCCTGCCCCACACACTGGGGAGCTGAGGGTTGGGGCCAGGGGTGAGAGGCAGCAGGGTGGGAGTGAGGGGCACCGGCAAGGTTAGGGGACTGTTTCCTACTTAAACTACTTACTGGGTCAGGACTGACCATCAGTGTTTACAAATGGGTCCTGGTGCAAAAAAGGTTGAGGACTACTGCTGTAGGGCATCTTCAGAGGAAACCAAGGTGAAGCAGGTCAGCCTCCTATCAGTTGCCTGTGCAAAACAATGGGAAAATGTGCCCTTTCAATGCCCCGTGCCCTCACAAGGGCTCCTAAACCCCACACGGGCCCCACCACCACAGCAGGACAGGGGTTCAAACCCTTCCATGTCTTCTCCCTTGAATCAAACAGGCCCTGCTGGGAAAAGCAGGTTTGCACTAGGAGATTGCAAACCCTGGGCAGGAAATGCTGGGGTGGGTTTCTGCCTCAACCTCTCTCTTGAAACACCATTCGCAGATACAGGGGTGTAGGTTGTGGCCGCCTTGGTCTAAGGACACAGGCAAAGACAAGGTTGTGTGGGTAAATCGGGTCTCTTTTATTGGCCATCAGACTGACTTTTTACTCGACCGACTGGGGGGGAAAAAAAGAGATCAGGTTTACCCGAAGAACCTTGTCTGCCTTCTCTGACACTGGTTTCTTTCCTGCTTGGGTTTGCAAAGGCAGGCATGGAGCAGAAAGCAAGCGGCAGGGGGGATACTGCTGTCTCCCCCTCTCTCCTCCCACCCGGGCTCTGCCCCCCGAAGTGCCCGGGAGCTCCCACTCTCCTGCGGCAGAGGCAGCGCGGGCACTTCCTGGTAGTGCTCGGGGGAATAGGGACTCTCCCATTGCTTGCTGGTCCCCCTCGGTCAATTTGTAAATGGCCAACCAGGTCGCCTCTCAGCCTTCTCTTGTGGAGGCTGAACAGGTTCAGGTTCTGTAGCTTCCCCTCGTAGGGCCTGCCTTGCTGCCCCCTAATCATGCGGGTGGCCCTCCTCTGGACCCTCTCGACGCTGTCCGCATCCCTCCTGAAGTGCGGTGCCCAGAACTGGACTCAGTACTCCAACTGCGGCCTGACCAGTGTCACATAGAGAACATCCTTCCCAGTTCTCGCTCCCTGGAAGACTGTGGAGCTCCCTGACTGGGAGTTCCCTGCTGTTTGCTGCTCTACTCATCAGAGGTGGTTCAAGCACCCACATTGAACACCTTCAAGAGAAAATTGGATGCTTATCTTGCTGGGATCCTATGACACCAGCTGACTTCCTGGCCCTCGGGCGGGGAGCTGGACTCGGTGATCTTCTGAGGTCCCTTCCAGCCCTAATGTCTATGAAATCTAAACCCAGGCGTGTGGCTGGGGACCTGCTCTCCTTTCGAACCACAGAGATTTGCTTTCTCTAGACATTTAAAATCCCCTTTGCTGCTCTGGGGGTAGTGAAAGCCCTAGTGTAGATAGGTGCTGGTACCCTTGGTGTTGCCCCTGGATCCTGCATCGGTCGGGTGGCTAAAATGCTAGCCCCTGCTCCGGGTCTGTAGTTGAGGGCCACAGCAGGCATGGTAGCAGCTGGAGATACTGGTACAAAAGGCCTCTTATAGACACAGCAAAGAGTGAAATCTGAGTGAGGACAGATCCTGTGGGGTGGTGAGTAACAGGGAGAGGCCTCCCTATTGTCCTCTGGTAGGCAGAGAGAGAGCTCCGCCCAGAGCCTGAGAGCTTTCCCTGCCCACCCAGTTGGCCTTGCTCAGGGCTGCCAGGCAGGGCATGCATATGGATGGGCTGTGGCCACTCCAGCAGTCTGTTATCCCA